TCTCACCATTCTGTCAGTGAACAGAGCTGGAGTGCATGATGTCTCTTCCATATCAGAGGGGTATATGCCAGAGATCCAGTGGTCTGGCACATGGATTTCAATTTTGTCTTGAAGGTTAGCATTTGTTTCAGTCAGGACTGGAACATATGGGTAGGAAATGAGGATTAGTCAGCCAGGGCTGCAAATGGAATAGGATCATAGAAATGTCAATTCCTGTTAGATTGACTTTTGGCTTTTTAAATTGAGTCTTTTTAAGCCTTCCCCTTACCTTCAGAGAAGATTTCTCAAATCCCATGCCCAAGAGCTACAAATCCATTTTGACACTTTCTTAAAGTCCAAATTCAGATATCAAGTACCATGGGACTGGCATTTAGACCTCTAGCACTGGCAGTACCATGCTTTTTGGCAACTCTTCTTGGAAAACAACTCACCTAATCCAACCCAAATTTCTAAAATGTGAAAGACTCAGCTTGATTCAGGTGAAGCTGCCTACAGCTTCCCTTGATATATTTCTGTTCAAAACCTGTCCTCTGATCTTCCAAGGAGTGTCATGATCCCCCTGTTGGTTTCAAACACTGTCCTCATAGCAGGAAGACCCCAATAGCTGTGGTGACCTCTTCCAGGAAGGCCACACTGGCCTGCACTGATCTGTGTTCAGCCACGTCAAGAAAGAGGCACCCAATTTAAAGGGGTCTTGGCTTTCTCTGCCTAAAGTAATTTCTTGCTGGTGCCTTCATTGCTGCTGTAGACGAATTCTGGACATTTGTCTATAGCTCTCCTCGGTCCTCACACACTTAACTTTGCCTTGACCTCTTACATCCTAGCACAGTTTACTTGGCAAGACCTGAATAAAACACACCATGAAGCTTCAGAGAGACACCTCAAGTGACACACGAGTACCTCCCCTGATGATTTGCACCAGTTGTAGTTCACAAAATCAGCTGTTTTGACTAGTTAAGAATACTTCTTTCTGACAGTTATCACACCACCTTAAGTTATCACACAGCATTTCTCAGAGCAATCTTTTCTACAAAAGGCTGTGGTCAAGTTCCCATGGCATTCCTCACTGTCCCTAAGCTTAGCTGATTAAGAAATCACTGAAGGACTCCCTTGCTCTTGCAACTGCAGCCATGCAGACTCCCAAGATACAGCACAGGTTTTGATAGTCTGCTTAGGTCAAAGGGTACTCACAGGCTCAGGAAATTTACTTTCCAAAAAAGAACAAAGCACAAATGAACCAAAGGAGAGCAGTGGAAAGTGGAGAGATAGGAGAGAGTCCCAGATACTTTATTTTTATTATCTTATTCACTAAAAAGACAATGGAAGATTTTGATGCTATGTATTTTAGATTTTCTTACTTTGATCTGCTCCCTCCTGAATGTTTGTATGCTCTGTAAGCTATTTTTGACTCATCTGTATTTTCAAGACGGGTGTATGCCAGGTATTATATGCCAGATTTTAGCTAAATAGTGGCAATCTTGAGTTGTTTAGATCTAAGCATGTCGTTCTCACAAATGTATTAAATATGTCACAGCAGACTTTTACCATACAGCTTACTCTTTGCTGCTCCTTCACTGAGAGAACAGTGTGTTCTTGAGTTCTTAAACAGAGACCTAGGAAAAGCCAGTCACACACTCAAAACAAAAGCACAAATAAACATTTGTATTCCAAGCCATTAGAGTGGTTGCAGAATACACTGCAACAGTTTGCTAAGTAGAGTACTCCTGTGGGACTAGATGCTCCAGAGGGTGGAGTTGTGGCTTGGAGTGTGAACTGTACCTCTTTGTGAAAACAACTGTGTGACCTAAAGGGGGCAAGGAAGAAGACGTGCTGTTCACCATGCTCTGACTCCTGCTGTGCCACCATGTGGCACCCCTGAAAGCCCTCTGACCCAAAAGAAGAGGCAAGGGCCCACACAGATGGTGTCAAGTCTCAAAGTCTGGCCAGGCATCCTGCAGGTTTGCTAATACTTTCCCTACCTTCAGCCAGGGATGAAGTTGAGAATGATTGCACTCTTAGCTTCTTAACAGCCTCAGAACTCTCTATTCCAGGACATCACACTGTCAGCTTCTCAAACACACCGTGCTCACTATGAATGGAGAAAGGTCTTGGTTGAGTTAGATCCCAGTTGGCTAGATACTAGAGGGAAAGGGAATTCTGAATCTTATCCCCTTCCAATGCATGTTAAAAATTCCCAGTGGTGTTTTCATACATTTTGAGTGCCAAAGTGCCTTTAAAAAGTTGGTCTTCCTCAATTAAAATCCAGGAAGCCCTGCCTGTCAAAAGTGGCTTTCAAACTAGGCTGAGAAGAATCCAGCTCGGCTTTTACAATTTTCAGCATCTCTGACTTTTTTTATTGTATATAACTTCCTCAAAGAAAATCTCTTTCAGTATGTAACATTGCAGTATATTCTCTCAGACATTATTTATTTCCCTGATTTATGAAGCATTTCAGTTTGGCTTTTTGAGGGTAACTGATGTAGAACATTTAGAACAGTACATTTTCAAAAACATTTCAGATACCAGCAAGCCAATATACAGATAATTTCAACACATATGAAGCACTAAAAATCTTCAATAGGTTTAATGCTAGAAATTTTTTTAACTTGTGCACTCTACACATGCTTTCTTGTACTTTCTAGAAGTGTGCGTGTCATTTATGAAGATGGACAGCCTGAAGCACTGGGAAAATATTCTGCTTTGAAGGCTTAGAGGGGAATTTACCTTAAGACTCTCTGTGCAGGGTCTGTACAGCAGTGAGTGTCACTGCAGAATTTGTGAAGGAGATATCAGTTGTACACTACATCTTTGCTTCCTAAATTCCCCCTCTATAGCAGGTTGCTGGCATCACCCAAACAAAGGAATCTGCTAGGGTCCTCACTTGGAGTAAAGACCCAATAAAAACAGAATATAAGCCAAAATGTCCTCCAGAGCCTTCCTGTCTCTCTTTTGCTCTTGGAGTAAAAGGTTAAAAGTTTATGGCATATTGACTCAGAACTGCACTGATGCCAAAGCACTTTGCTGGTAGAGCACCTCATAATTTGGATGAGCAAAGTGCTGAAGTAAGTATGGATCTCACTTATTCATCAGGTAAACTAAAAAAACCTAGCCTCCATATATAAGCAGGGTTTGTATTTTCTTCGCAGAAGACTGCCAGCTACACAGCTCATTACAAATACATTTGCCAAGAACAAGAAGTCCTGCCCTGTTCCCTGTTCATCCCAAAGTATGAACTCACCTTCAGGGCTGCTCTCACACAGTACAATCTGTGTTGCTCCCCTTGCATTAACAAGAACAGTGACTTGCAAGAAGGCAGCTCTCTCTTTTGTGCCTTCCAAGGAAAACTTGCTTAATAAATATTCCTTTGAGTTTGACTCCATACATTCCCTTCTGTGTGATGCCCACAAAGATTTCTACTTTATCCTTTATATACAGGAAATCTGCATACTTTACATCCTGTTTTCCTACCCCTGGATTTTCAGTGATCAATGTGAATCCAACACATTTCAGACCAAATATATTTCAGATCCTCACTTAAACTCTCTTGTCAGAATTCAGCCTTTTGGTTTGGAGACAGTAAAAAATGGTCGTGCAAGCAATGATGTCCTGCCAATCATAGTTTGCGCCAGGAAAAAAAGTCAAATCAAAAAGCAATCCACATTTCTTCAAGAGAAGAATGCAGAAAAATGGTATCTGCAATAGCTTTCTGTTATAATTTATCTTACAGTTATAAACAGGCAGGATGAGATTGCAAGTGATCTGAGGGATGGAAAACTAGCATGCCTGTAGGTAGCAGCAGTACAATCCTGAAAATTTTCTCTCATCAGTAAAGGGATTTTTTCTTGTTACCCCAAGTGCCAACTGGACTCTAAGCCTAGATTCTCAGCTGAAAGACAGCAGTGACCAATCCTGATTTCAACTCTTCTATCAAAGTCTTCTGATGCAGACCTCTCTAAAAACATGAAGTCCCAAGCACTTGGCTCAGGGACACCCAGACTGTAATCTCCACCTCTGATGCAGCAAGGTTCAGATCTGTAAGGGTACTCAGGCTCCCTGACCCTTCCTACCTTGATACCTGAGGTCATATAGTATCATAAAGTATCTCTTGTCACCACAAATCTGAGCACATATTTGGTCTGACAAGGATACAAACAGCAAAACAATATAATCAAAACCTGACCCAAAAAAAAATCAACTGTATAAAGTTCATTCCTGAGGGAAAAAAATACAGTAGTGTATTCTGTAATGCATCACTTCACACACCAAACAAGCCAACATCTTTAAGGCAAACATGCTCCTCCTCTTCAGCAGGATCCACATCCTGCTCCTGCCCATCCTGCACAGATACAACATTGAATGGAACTTTTTTGCTCTGTCTAGACACTAAGGAGTAACTCAGGCATTTAAATACAGGCATCTGATGTAATTTTAGAGACCTTTAAGCAATGCTCATGGCCTTTAACTGTCAGTATATGACCTGTATGAACTTTTACATCTTCAGTATTTTATGACATCTATCATAGAATCTTAGAATGGCTGAGTTTGGAAGCAATCTCTGGGGGTCATCTGGTGCAACCACCCTGCTGAAAGAAGGCCACTTCATGCTGGTTGCCAGGACTATGCCCAGATGACCTCTGAAGATGCCCTAGGCAGGAGAAGCCACCATCTTGATCACTCTCACAGAAAAGAAGTATTACCTGATGTTCAGAGGAAAATTCAAGCATTTCAGTTTGTGCCCCTTGTCTGTCACTGAGCATCACCAAAAAGAGACTGGGTCCTTCTCTGTTTTGCTCTCTTTTCAGATTTTGGTACACATTGATGAGATTTTCCCCTGAGCCTTCTCTGAGAAAGTATACCAGCTCTCTTGGACTTCATTCATATGAAAGATGCTCCAGGCCCTGAATCATCTTTGGAGCCCTTCTGGACTCTCCCAGCAGCTCCATATCTCTGCTGTATTGCAGAGCCCAGAGTTCACCTCAGCACTGCAGGTGTGATCTTACCTGAACAGAAGAGAAATATCATTTTCTTAGCCTGCTGGTGACACTCCTCCAAATGTAGCTCAGGATACTGTTAAACTGCATGGGCACAAGAGCACATCAATGGCTCTTGTTCAACTTGCTGCCCACCAGGACTTTAGGTCCTTTCCCACAAAGCTGTTTCAGCCAACTGACCTCCAGCAAGTACCAGTGCATCTGGTTGTTCCTCCCCAGATGCAGGACTTTGCACTTCCCTTGGCTGTATGATGTCAATGTCCCACTAAAAAGCAGAACAACCCCCTGGTGTACCAGCCACACCTCCCAGTTTGATGTCATCAGTGAACTTGCTGTGGGTACATTCTGTTCCTTCATCCAGATTGTTTATGAAGGTGTTTAACAAGTGTTAAACCAGTATCGACCCCTGGGGTGCCCTACTAGTGACTGGACTCAAACTTCATGCCATTGAATATACCCTCTGGGCCCAGCCATTCAACCAGTTTTCAAACCACCACACTGTCTGCTCATCAAGCCCATATGACAGCAGTTTATCCATGAATTTTATGGGAGTATCCAAAGCCTTATTGAAGTCAAGGCAGTCAATATCAACTGCTATCCCCATATATACCAAGTGAGTAATTTCATTATGGAAGGTTACTGACTTCATTAGCGGAACTTCCTCTTTCTATATCCATGCTGACTAATTCAAAACACCTTCTTTCCAGGAATAAATAGTTTCACAAAAGTTGTTTCACCATCATGTCAGGAGACAGCCATAGGAAGGGGTGAAAGGAACACTATGTAACATCTATTTCCAACCTCCATGCCATGGGCAGGGACACTTTCCACTAGACCATGTTGCTCACAGCACTATCCAGCCTGGCCTGGAACATGCCCAGGGACTGGGCATCAAGAGCTTCTTTGGGCAACCTGTTCCAGTGCCTCACCACTCTCACAGTAATTTGTTCCCAACATGCAATCTAAACATACCCTCTTACAATTTGAAGCCATTCCCTCTTGTCCTGTCACTACATGCCCTTGTAAAAAAGTCCCTCTCTGTCTTTCTTTCAGGCTCCCTTCAGGTACTGTAAAGTCACAATTGGGTCATCCCAAAGCCTTCTTTTCCAGGCTCGACAATCCCAGGTCTCTCTTACAGGAGAGGTTTTCCCTCTCCCTATTCATCTTGGTGTCCCTCTGGACACACTCCAGCAGCTCCATGTCCTTCCTGTGCTGAAGACCCCAGAGCTGGATGCAGGGTTCCAGGTGGCTTTCACCAGAGCAGAGCAGAGGGGCGGAATCCCCTCCCTCCCCTGCTGCCCACGCTGCTCCAGATGCAGCCCAGGACACGTTTGGCTCTCTGGGCTGGGAGTGCCCATGGCTGGGTCATGTCCAGCCTCTCACCCAGCAGCACCCCCAAGGCCTTCTCACAGGGCTGCTCTCCACCTGCTCAGCCCCAGCCTGTGCTGATGATGCTGGGGGTTGTCCTGACCCAGGTGCAGCACCTTGAACTTGATCTTACTAAATCTCATGAGATTCCTATTGGCTCACTTCTCAAACTTGTCCAGGTTCCTTTGGAAGACATCTCATCTTTTAGGAGTGTCAACAGCACCACTCAGCTTTGTGTCATCAGCAAGTTTGCTAGGGTGCACTCCATCCCTCTTACTAATGAATCAGGATGGGGGTGACTGACCTATACTTGCCTGGATACTCTTTCTTGTCATCCTTGAAGACAAGAAAGACAGGAGGGACATTCCTTTTCCTTCAGCTCTCAGGAACCTCTCCCAGTCACTATGATCAGCCTAAGATAATTGAGAGTGGCCTCACAATTATATCTGCCAGCTCCCTCAGCACTCATGGGTACGCACCATCAGGGCCCATGGCTTCAGGTATTAATTTAGTTAAGTATTCCGTAATCTGAATCTCTTCCAACAAGAAGAGTACTAAATCCTCCTCCCTTCAGACTTCCCCGCAGTCTCACTGACGTTTAAACAAATTCATTCCTACAGTGCTTGACAAGCAAGCAGTCATATTGTGGCCAAACCACTCCCCGTAAACCATGAGTGAAGCCATTGTTTATGGATACAGACCAAGACAGGCAAGGTACAGAGGTGTCTTATAAGGGTTGGCAATGCTTGAATGGCATCTTCAGTCTCCTGTGTCAAATTCTGAGCTACTGGTTTGTTATCTGGCACTCAAGTGAGATAGTTTTGATTGTTCCCAAGTGCAGGGAACCGAACAAATCTACTAGCATCAATAACTCAATTAAACATCAAGAACAGGAGAATAGAAAGGGTTGTTTCTTGCGTATGCCTGTGTTTATTCAGTATGACACTTTCCAGATAGGGCTGGGACAAGGCTTATTGCTAACTGTGATGACCATTCTTTAGAGAAGAGATCCATGTATAGACATGGATCACTGCTGTTTTCTGATGGGAGTGTGTTTTTTCTCTTGTCTACCTGCTATTAACCAAAAACATCTATATTTTGATCCCTAGTTGTCCTACCCAGATAATTTAAGCTGTGGAAGAAAATCTCATGTTTCCCTTGCTCAGACCAAAGACAGAGAGTGAGCAGTTGTCAGGGTTATACCAGAACAGCTGGCTAAATCTTTCCAGGGCAACTTTCAAGCCTAGACATATGATGACACATCTCATCTCAGAGTGGGAACAGAAGCACTCAGTCACTTCTCTGTTATGGAAGACATGACAAGGCAGCTCCAAGAACACCAGACAGAGCTCTCTCATGCTCCGGCACCTGACAACGGTACATCCTTCATAAACAGCCAGCTCTGTGAAGAATCAGGATTTATTGGAAAGTAATGAACATTGACTGGTTCCCCTGGTACACCTCATCACAGCATTGAAGTAGAAGGCAGATAAAGATATTTTCCCAACATTTGGTTGTAAGGGCAGAGGCTGTCTAAGGACCATCCTCTATCAAGGATCTTCTGTCCAAAATAACCAAGTGCTCTTTTCTGTCAAAAGTCAGATCTGAGCTGGCCTAACAGTCACATGGATCTGTTCCCTTAATTAGATCTCATGACTCCTGCATAATGGTCACAGCCTCCTTAGAAAATTCTAAGATCCACATGGCTTTCCTGGAGCTAATCACTCACCTTCCTCAAAATATTTGTTGCTTTCATTTCCTTTCTGGAGTACCAAAACAAGCATCAATCTAAGTCACCAAGGGATCTGAAATCTTCACAGGTAAAAACCTGTAAGCAAAATGTGATCTTCAAATACAGGACAGCAGATAGGCCTTTCTTGTTCTCTAGGTAAACATTCCATACCATCTCCAATGAATCCTACCTTCAGCCTGCTTTCATACATACGTAGCTATATAAACCTAGTGCTTCCAGACTTCTGCTTCAATAATATGTAGCAGGGATTGCAGTTCATTTCTGCCTGTACAAATTCTTCACTGCACTCATCTGTGCATGATCCTTCAGAGCTTGAAGCTTATGAAATTAGAAAAGCAGGGGTGTTTTCCTCTACCACCACATAGCTTGTACACTAAACCTTTACTCTGAGAACATTGTTACATGCAGCCACATTACTGGGATACAACAGTTTTTTTAGCCAAAAACTGACTAAGGAGTAAGATCTGAATTCACTGAGTGTTGTAACAGGCTGTGAACATGTAACAAATGTGATGTTGCTCCTGCTAGCAGAAAGATACTATTATACTGTGGAGGCTACTGGTTTTATTTTTAATGAGTTGTGTTTACCTAAATATATTAAACATTCACCATACTGTATGCTACTAGCTATAGAAATTCTAGAGCTTTTACCACATTAACACACTTGGACTTTTAGATGAAGTACTAGTCTTTCTTAAAATATCAGTAAGGTGTTTTAATCATCTGTTTGAATCTATGAAAAATACTGGGTCTTACTAAGTCTGCAAACCTGGGGATTTTCTACACAGAGCTTTCCCATTCACTCCCCTCTTGACCCAGAGTCTCTGCTGTTGTGGATCCAGGATCCACATTCCACTTCTTTCAGACAGTCCAGTCAGTCACTCATGTAGTGGATGAAAAGGGCAGGGGAAGAATCCAGGTCATCTGCCTCATCCACAGCCCCTCACAGCAGCGGCTGGTAGAAATCAACTTTATTTCTGTCATTCCAGAAGTTCAGACCTTCCTTTCTCCTTCAGCAACTTTACTTCAGCAAATTGTTGTACTGAATTCCTCCGGTGTTTGTGGTGACATTTTTATCTGAGCCTGCATGAACTATATAACAGTAGTCTGCTCTTTTCTCAGTGGACGTTCTTCACATGCTTTTTTATGGAACAGCCTAGAGGCAAATATAGGAGGGTAGAGCAAGAAAATCTAGTAAAGCAAGGTTAATTGTTTAATCAGAGATTACTTGGAAAGTTCCTTCTATCCCTCTTTGCCCTGAAGCAGAGAGAAGTAAGTATATCCTAGAAAGGGTCAAAGGAACTTAACATTTACTCTCAGCTCCCTGCAACAACAGCTCAGTGCTCTGAATGCCCACAAAGGAGCAGAAAAAAAACTTCTGCAAATCATCCATGTCCACCCTGCAGCTTCCTCCACACCGAATACCTCATCACTTGGGCAGGGCATAAGTCTCCAGACTGTATAAACTGCCAAAAGGACATCAAGTGAACCTTTAAGATGTTGAAAGCCCAGGCAAGGAAAAGGGTGATGCTACCTCCCTTTCAACAGGAAAGGTCAGTGAAGAGGTGTGGAAAACAGACATGGCTATGTGAAGTCACCAGTCTTATGTATCACTATACTCATTTTAATATCACATACAGCTTCACAAAGGCAAAGCCTTTTTTATTAGCCTTTCATTATCCAGCAGCCAGGCTGCTGTCAGCAATGTATCAGCTGCCCCAGTTGGCCAGCAGCAGGCAATGCAAGCTGCTCAATTTGAGCTCCCTGTGCAGTTCCCTCTGCCTCAGAACACCCTGCTCAATGGGGTTACTGCTATTTGTCAAAGAGCAATGTCAAAGCATTGTAAGAGGGAGAGAAATAGAAGCTTCTGCCAAATTGATAAAAATTGACCAATATGTTATTTAAAATGCAATAATTTTTTAGACTGTAGATTGAGATGGCACTGGAAAACAGCATTTTACCAAGACTTGTTCCTTAAAAAAGAGGCCAGAAGACAAGATAAGGCACTTGAAGGTCTGGTTTTGTGTGAGGAGGCAGGCACTCAGTTAGGTCAGTGTAGCTTGTACAGC